ACCTCTCGAGGTCCCTTCCAGTCCTAGAATCTATGAATCTATGAAAATGGAGGCAGGTTCTCGGCCCGGTTCCATCACTGTGGGACCCGGGTGCCGACAGTGAGAGCGGAGTGGTACCATCCCTGCCCCCCACACCCCAAGGGCAATGGATGCTGCCCCTCCCTTCGGCTTCCAACAGCTGCGACCAGTGCTGCGAAGGGCAGAGCCCCCAGCGCCCTGGGCCACCGGGACACAGCTGCAATGGCGGGGCTGGGGTGTCCCTGCCCGGGGTGCTGCTTCCCTCAGAGCTTGGCCATGGCAGATGGAGACACCCGCATGGAGGGGCCCCCCCACATCATTGGGGGAGGAAGTAAATCAGCCAGCTCCCTCCTCCCCCCAGGAGCTGCACTGCTCGTAACCCCCAGCAGGCTTGGCCGTACTCAGACAGCTCCTCCCTCCCCGACGAGGGGGAGGCTGCGGGGGTGTGTGTGTGTGTTTGCCAGTCACCCCCCATTGCCTACGGGCGGCGCAGGCCGCGTACCTGTGAAGAGCGCGCACGCGTCGGGCTCACTGCTGCTTGCAGGTGGAGAGCTTGCGGATCTTGCTGCTGGCAGAGCAGGCCTTGCGCGAAGGGTTGGACGAGGCGCTCGCCCGCCGCTCCGCTTTCGATTTGGTGCTCAGCTGTCCCGGCTCCGTCCCGTTCATGCACACCGGCTTGGGCAGCCCTTTGCCGCGGTTCTGCCCGTTTGGCGCGGCCTCCTCATCAGGCACCTGTCCTGGAAGGGAAGCAGGAACCAGGGTCAGGCAGGTGGGAGAGGGGCCAGAGGCGGGGAGGTGGCGTGCTTAGCTGAACACCAGCTCTGCTCTAGTTCAGGATGGGAGTTGCGCTAAGATCCACACGCTTCCTGGGATTGTCTCGACATCTGCTGTTCCTCACAGGGGCATAGGGTAGGGGTAGTGGCCCAAGCCTGGGGTCATTAAAGCAAGGGATTCCCAAGACACAGATGTTTGCAAAACTCACATTGTGGTTTTTTTATTTTTTGCACACACCTGGAGCTCAACTGGTGCCTCTAACCCTCCTAAGAGCAGCCGTACTGGGTCAGCCCAAAGGTCCATCTAGCCCAGCATCCTCTCTTCTGACAGTGACCAATGCCCCAGAGGGAATGAACAGGTAATCAAGTGATCCACGTGGGATTTCTTTGAGCCCGGTCCCGGTCCCCACTGCCCCCTTGGGGCAGGAACACGACAAACTTTCCCCGGAATAACGTTTGTAACTCCAGGTCGGCACAAGCTAAACCAAGGTGCCTAAGAGAGAAATGCGCATGTATAGCAAGGCTCAGGCTGTTACCAGCTGGAGGGGTTCCCCGCACTCTGGTCTCATTGAGCCTGGATGGCTCAGGGTTATCTCCTGTGGCCGCTGAACCTGGGTTACCCCCATGCCCTGCCCTCACCAGCTTTCACACATCCTGCAGCGGCTCCCTTTGGAAGCAGCATTTCGGAGCTAGGAACGCTCCCTTCGTGTCCCCTGGTGGGTCTGAGAGGAGCCGAACCCCACATCCCGGAAGCGTACGAGGCACAACCAGGCAGCCCTACCTTGCTGCAGGGGACAGACAGCTCGATGCACTAACAGCTCCCGCAGCAGGTTCCGTCATCTAAAGTGAGCGCCACTAACATGACATCTGGGACTCGGGGAGGGAAGCTGCTGACTCCCCATCTGGAAAAGGGGCTGAGCAACCCAGATCAGGAAAGGGTCGCAGGGGGGAACCAGTTTAAGCCCAGCAGCAGGAGAGGCAGCACGAACTCGAAGCAGTGAGGATGCAATTCTCCCCCACGCAGAGGAACTCTGTGCCACTTATGACCCAAGGGCGGGTGGCCGGGGCTTGTGCTGGCCCCTCTGCACGGCCGTGAACTGCACCCCAGCTGCCTTACAGAACCCTGATCGTGGATCACCTCCCCCAGGGCCGAGCGACCCAGCAGCAGCTCAGAGGAGTGACTCAGCACTGCAGAGAAACTGTTTCCAGTGGAATCAATTTCACAGCCTGGCCCCATTCCGGCTCAGGTAACGGGTGTTTGGCGGGGAACTGGGGGAGTGACATTAAACGAGAACGGCAAACACCCACCCAGCTCAGCGGGGCCCAGGGCGCTGAGGCACGTACAATGCCCGCCGGCTTAGCCTGCCATGCTGCTCACGCTACCCCCGTTGGATGCAGAGCTCGGGAGGAGAGGAGTTGTCAGATAGCTCGTCTCTCCCCCCTCCCTGCCTCGCCACCAGCCCCATCCAAGGTAATTTCCATCTCGCAGGAACGTCACGCTCCAGGGCCCTTCAGTTATGACTCAGAGGGTTGAGTGGAAGCGAAGGCTGGGAGGCGATTATGTGTAATTTTCTTTAAAAGGATGCGCAGATCCTTTCCCCGCCAAGGCCGTGTCACGTCAGCACTATGCTTGCGCCAACCATCACCCCACCTCTGCCGAGCCCCCCGGTAAGGAGGGGAGTGACAGATGGGGGAGGAGGGAGGAGTTGTAGTTTCCATGGGGGCGGGGGGGGGGGGGAAGGAGGAATCTCAAAGGGTCCACCTGGAATGGCTTCGACTCTCCAACAGGGGGCGCTGCAACGCACATCACTCCCAGAAGGGGTGGCCCTGTCCTCACCTGGCTATAGCTCCGTTCGAGGCTGCATGTCCCCGCACTGGGGCAGGCTGGACAGCTCAGGGATTTTACTACGCCGGGCACAGGGCGCCCACCAAAGCGTCCAAGCCCCAGAGAGACGGGTTGCCCAAGGGCAGCACAGTGCATTCTGCCACACCCGGGCATGTGTCCAGCCTGTGCCAACCCCAAATTTCACACAGGGCAGCGTATTACCTCATAAGCCTGCTGAGCAGGTCTGCAAATCCCCCCCTCCCCCTTGGCTTCGCTCTGATCTCCCCTGCCTGCCCCCCACTACTGCACAGGCTTTAACATGTATTCCAGTGCTAGGCATTTCAAATCCTCATGGCAGGTGGAAAAAGCTTTTCATTTAGAAAAGCTGGACATGCACAAGTCCATGGAGACGGATCTAATGCATCCGAGGGGGCTGAGGGAGTTGGCTGATGTGGTTATAGAGCCGTTGGCCATTATCTTTGAAAACTCGTGGCGACTGGAAAAAGGCAAATATAGTGCCCATCCTTAGACAAGGGAAGGCGGCGAATCTGGGGAACTACAGACCGGTCAACCTCACCTCAGGCCCTGGAAAAATCATGGAGCAGGTCCTCAAGGAATCCATTTTGAAGCACTTGGAGGAGAGGAAAGTGATCAGGAACAGTCAACATGGATTCACCAAGGGCAAGTCATGCCTGACCAACCTGACTGCCTTCTGTGATGAGATAACTGGCTCTGTGGATATGGGGAAAGCGGTGGATGTGATGTAACTTGACTTTAGCAAAGCTTTTGATACGGTCTCCCATGATATTCTTGCCAGCAAGTTGAAGTATGGATTGGATGAATGGACTATAAGGTGGAGAGAAAGCTGGCTAGATTGTCGGGCTCAACGGGTAGTGATCAACGGCTTGATGTCTAGTTGGCAGCCGGTATCAAGCAGAGTGCTCCAGGGGTCGGTCCTGGGGGTGGTTTTGTTCAACATCCTCATTTAAGATCTGGATGATGGGATGGATTGCACCCTCAGCAAGTTCACGGATGACATTAAACTGGGGAGGAGAGGTAGATACGCTGGAGGGTAGGGATAGGGTCCAGAGCGACCAAACCAATTGGAGGATTGGGAAAAGATATCTGATGAGGTTCAACAAGGACAAGTGCAGAGTCCTGCACTTAGGACGGAAGAATCCCATCCACTGCTACAGTCTGGGGACTGACTGACTAAGCAGCAGTTCTGAGGAAAAGGACCTGGGGATTACAGTGGACGAGATGCTGGCTATGAGTCAGCAGTGTGCCCTTGTCGCCAAAAAGGCTAATGGCATATTAGGCTGCATTAGTAGGAGCATGGCCAGCAGATCGAGGGAAGTGATTTCCCCCCCTCTATTCGGCACTGGTGAGGCCACATCTGGAGTATTGTGTCCAGTTTTGGGCCCCCCACTATAGAAAGGATGTGGATAAATTGGAGAGTCCAGTGGAGGGCAATGAAAATGATTAGGGGCTGGGGCACATGACTTGTGAGGAGAGGCTGAGGGAACTGGGGTTATTTAGTCTGCAGAAGAGAAGAATGAGGGGGGATTTGATAGCAGCTTTCAACTCCCTGAAGGGGGGTTCCAAAGAGGATGGAGCTCGGCTGTTTTCAATGGTGGCAGATGACAGAACAAGGAGCAATAGTGTCAAGTTGCAGTGAGGGAGGTCTAGGTTAGATATTAAGAAACACTATTTCACTAGGAGGGTGGTGAAGCACTGGAATGGGTTCCATAGGGAGGTGGTGAAATCTTCATCCTTGTTTTTAAGGTCAGGCTTGACAAAGCCCTGGCTGGGATGATTTAGTTGGGGTTGGTCCTGCTTTGAGCAGGGGGTTGGACTAGATGACCTCCTGAGGTCTCTTCCTGCCCTAGTCTTCTATGATCTCAGAGCATTCATTGGTAGCAATAAGCCATGAAGCGGGGGAGGGGATGCTTTGCACACACACACACACACACACACACACACACACATCCAGTGAATTCTTTTCTTTCCCTTGAACGTGCATGCAGATTAGTCTAGTGAAACGGCCACTGGCCTGCACATTGCACTGTATCGCTCTCACTGCCACGCAGGGAATGCATCCAGCCCGCCTTCCCCCAACCCCAGCATTTGCCTTTCACATGGCACAGCATGGGTAGAGGGGTGCCCACACGGCAAGGGATGGCAGAACCCACGCAGAGGCTCTGACACAGAAGAGGGAATGTGATAGCATACAAAAGCATGCCATGATCCAAGAGCTGGAAGCACAAGCTAGCCAAATCCAGGCTAGAATTAGGTGTGTGTTAACAGTGAGGGGTATTACCCACTGGAACATCTGACCTGGGAACGTGGCGGATTCGCCATCCCTTGAAGCCTTAAATCAAGATTGGACGTTTCTTTCTAAGAGAGACGCTTTGAGCTCAACCCCAGGATATGGGCCTGAGGCAGGAATGACCGAATGAAGGTCCCCGGGCTCCGTTCGCCGGAGATCAGACTAGAACAGCATCATGGCCTTACAAATCTACGGCTGTCAGAAGCAGGTTTAGCTCCTTGCTATCACAGCCACAATAGCAGTTGCCAGAGAGAGATGTGGAAACCACGGCCCATGGCTCTAGAAGGGACGTAAAGCAGGGAGGGCCTCAGTCACACTAGCATGGACTAGCCCTTTTGTTTTCTCTGCGGAGGGAGCACAGAGTGGGTAACACCATTCAGAGCAAAATGGTTTTTGCTCTTCCTCCTGCTGCAGTTCATTAGCTTGATTTTTTAGCAAGACAAATACCCTACAGCAGGGCCAGTCAGGAGGTTGCAACCACTCTCCCTTTTCCTCATATCGTCCAATGGGGTGGAGGCTCCCGGCTAGATTTTGGCTACATATGATTTGGGGGGCACGGGTGTCCTGCTCTGGAAGAGATTGAGACCCACTTCTCTACAGCAGCCCATTTAAGACTGAAGACTGGTGCTGTGGGGGGAGATCTCCTAACCTCGGGGTGATTTCTGGACAAGCATTTGCCCACTGCCTGTCTGAAGGGGTCCTTCCTGCATCAGTTTCACATCCAAGGCCATTGTCCCAATGCCCCGCCTTACCTGCTGGAGAACGTCCCAGGAAGTTGGTTTTGTTTTGCATTCAGATTCTGGGCTGGCT